CTGTCTATTTATGTTTTAATCAACTTTATGATGAATGGTTGTTAATATTTCTAATGTTATAAACTAGTAATTGATAAAGTATTATACCTTACTGTACTGTTTCACTGTTATTTGTGTCTAAAATTTTAGAAATACATTTGTTGAGTTATTGATTTAAAATAGTTTAATTTAAAGTTGATAAATTTTATAATGGCTATAAATATTGGTTCTTAGTAAATTATGTTGTACTTATTTATAAAGTGCATTTCAATTTTTTTCTTCCAAAGGAAGTGTCTTGTGTGTTAATTTTAGATATTTTTAATTCAATATTTTATTCACAAAGAATTGTTTGTATAAAATAAATATATTTGTTTGCACAAAAGAATAAGGTATTCTAGGTTACTTTTCCTTGGTCAATTTGATCATTACTGGTGGCAATTTATCCTTACCACTTGAAAAACATATAGGGAAACCTTAGGAAGAAATTAATAAACTCATTAAACAATGTCAGGAAAGTTTGATGCTGGAAGACAAAACATGAGATGATGTAAAACCTAAATCTTTCATAGGTCTATACTTCATTTATATAACTAAGGGACATTTTACATTTTATGAAGAAGAAGGTAAAGAGTTACGTCTGGCGGAATACACATGATGAAGATAACTTTCTTGCCTAATATCTCATTCTGACAGGATTCAGAAAAATTAATGAGACAATACAATATAAAAGTAGATACAGATAATATAAGTAGACAGCAATGGACAATTTAGGAATTATAATAACCAAATATGAATAATTGAGATGCATAGGTAAAAATATATTTAAAGCATCTGTTATACATCTTACAGGCTCAAGTTGACATAATTTAGTAAATGCTTGAAAAAGATTACTCCTTAACTAAATACCTCTTGGAGTATTGCATTTTGTATATACATACAGGTTGCTAAGATACTTGTCTATCATATAGATACGATGATTGGCATAGCTAATTATGTAGAAAATGTGCGGTTCCAAGGGGAATGTACAAGGGACCAATCGCTAAGAACTCGTAATATTGCTGACAAGTTCAGATTTAAAGGAATGTCAGTAGTATTTTGTTCTTTGATTATTTTAAATTAAATGAATCGCTAGAGCTCTCCTACATGATCCTGAAACATTTACCTTAGAATCTAGTAATGCCAGTATGTACCTCAGTAGACTAAAAATGTGTTTTATTGCTAGAAGATTTAAGTAACATATAATTGAAAAACATAACCCTTATCCAGCATCAAAACCCTTATAGAAAATTGTTTAATTCTTCTTGAATTGTATTAATATTGGTCATAGGTAATGTACAATTACAGATAAAGTGTCACAATTAAAACAAAACTTAAGTTAATAAACTTCTTTAATTTTATCAATACATCAAAATCCTATCAAACCATATGTTAAGCTTCTGAATTAAATAAAATATTGTTTCACGAAAAAAAAAAAAATGCAACCTTGAAAATTAAAATCCATTTTACAATTAACTAACGACAACAATACATAATATAATACAACAAATAACTATTAACCTATATCTAAATGGAAGAAGAATTAAAAAAAAAATTATAAGGACTGACATAAATAATAGAAAATTTAAAGATGATTCAAAAAACAAATAAACAAAAACAAAAGATCTCAATAATTAAATTAAATATATATGTTTATATTCTCCTTAAATACGTTAATTGACTGACATATACAAGGCATGAAGTAATGTAGAGGAACTTAAAAAGATTGAAACTATTAAGGATAATCCAGATCAATTGATTTTAGATATTTAATTTTAAATAAAATTAATGTATGTACATACGTAATAATAAATTGTCCACGTTATAATGAAAACTTTATTTTTTTAATTGAGTTGAAATTTATAATGATATATTGAATATTTAATAGTTGACCGTTGCATTATAAAGGAAGGAGATGGTCCGGGGTGGAGTTCATAAATAGGCTAAATAGTGGCAAAACTATTTTATTAAAAGCCAACGTTTCGACCCGACTTTGCAGGTCTTCTTCATGGATGTGTGTTCAGCTAAGAGTTTCACTTAGAACAATTTGAGTTCTAGCTCGAGTTCTTTCTGAACACACCTCCCTGAAGAACACCTGTAAAATCAGGTCGAAACGTCGGCTTTTAATAAAATAGTTTTGCCACTATTTAGCCTATTTATGACCCAGATCCCGAACCATCTCAGTGTTCAGCTAGAAGTTTCACTTAGAACAATTAGAGTTCTAGCTCGAGTTCTTTCTGAACATACCTCCCTGAAGAAGACCTGTAAAATCGGGTCGAAACGTCGGCTTTTAATAAAATAGTTTTGCCACTATTTAGCCTATTTATGACCGAGATCCCGGACCATCTCCTTCCTTAATAATGTTATACATTTAAAAATTAGAAAAGTCACTAGTAAAAAATTACGAATCCATCTCAGAGAGGAATGGGGCTGGAATATTGAGAAAAGAAATGTGTTAAACTTAAAGAATACACTGTAACACTTGAGATTTTCAAGCGTTCAAATTGTTTATGCTGTTTTTATAGATCACTAAATAAATATTTTTGGGACTTTTTCTAAATAATACAAAAACACTTTTAATGGGTATATTTTTTCTTACCTGTTTTACAGTGAGCGTCTATCTGTGATTTTCTTTCAGACCCGATTGATTTTTCACATACAGTACAGAAAACAACTTCCCCACCAAATTTCAACTCAGAGTAATTTGATATCCAGATTTTAACTTTAGAGGAGATACTAGATCCTACTTTCGACATTATTCAATCTTTTTTACAAGTGGAAATACTACGATTCACTTCAAAGTTGGAATAGATACTGAAGGACTAAAGAAAGAGTGAAAATTAAGGTGAACACAAGGAAGACAGTTTTCTTATTGAATTATTTCAGACAAGTTCTATTCCAAGAATTGTCTGTCTGCATTCATGTTTACTTTTTGTAATGTTTAATTTGAATCTTTGCCAGTCACTGACTGAAACATTTATCTTCCTCATAATTTTCTTTTTTAAATTATAAATTTAGAATGGAAGAGATAGTAAAATAAAAAAGTAAAAATTTAAACACACATACATATTTATATTAAAAATCATTTAATCTTGCACAAAATGTGCAATTTAATGCAGCAAAAATCAAAATCGTGCAATTTAAGTCAAAAACGGCAAAACCTGCAATATAAAATTTAATTATGTTACTCTACAGTAGAGATGGGCATTACTCGATTACTTTCATGATTTGAGTAATTTTATTAGGAAAAAGTATCGAGTAGTTTCTGTACTCGGCCTGACATCCGCGAGTACTGAGAGTACTCACGCAGCGTCAATCATGATTTAGTTAAGTACAGAAAGTACTCGCGGTGTCATATCGAATTACAGAAAGTACTCAGCCTAATTCCTACAAAGAGTACATTTTATGTTTCAACTACTCCGTCATTATTATAAAGAGTATAAATGTTTTATTTTATTTCCTTCAATAATAGCGGCCATATTCGACCTGACCAGCCCTAACCCCCCATTAATGTATATTAGACTAACCATCATGTTTTGGTTTATAAAAACCCTTTTTATAAAAATATACTGTCGGATTTGAGATAGTGTTCCCGGGCATCGAATTTTCATAACTTTTCCGATTTAATCGATACCAGGGCCGACTATTACGTTTCGGGGGGCGCTTTTTTTGAAAATGATATCGAGTTTAAAATTGGGCCTCCCTGGCCTCGATTTTTTTTCACTTTTTTGAATCAAATCGATATCAGGGTCGACTCTTATGTTTTGGGGGGCGCTTTGTATGAAAATGATACCGAATTTGAGATTGGGCCCCAGGGGCCCGACTTTTTTTAACTTTTTGGATTAAATCGATATCAGGGTCGACTATTATGTTTTGGGGGGCGCTTTTTATGAAAATGATATCGAATTTGAGATTGGCCCCCCCGGGCCTCGACTTTTTTTTACTTTTTGGATTAAATCGATATCAGGGTCGACTCCGAAAGGTTACAAAAAGTCGGGCCCCGAGGGCACTATCTCAAAATTTATGAAAATGATTCGTAATCCGATATAATTTTCATAAAAAGCGCCCCCCAAAACATAATAGTCGACCCTGATATCGATTTAATCCAAAAAGTTAAAAAAAGTCGGTGCCCGGGGAGCCCAATCTCAATTTCGATATAATTTTCATAAAAAGCGCCCCCCAAAACATAATAGTCGACCCTGATATCGATTTAATCCAAAAAGTTAAAAAAAGTCGGTGCCCGGGGAGCCCAATCTCAATTTCGATATTATTTTCACAAAAAGCGTCCCCCAAAACCTAATAGTCGACCCTGATATCGATATAATTCGAAATGTTACAAAAAGTCAGGCCCCAGGGGCTCTATCTGAAATCCAACATCATTTTCATAAAAAGCGCCCCCCAAAACCTAATAGTTGACTCTGATGTCGATATAATCCGAAATGTTACAAAAAGTCGGGCCCCTGGGGCACTATCTCAAATCCGACATCATTATCATAAAAGTCAAGTGGTGTAGAAAAAAAAAAAGAAAAAAAAATGGTCCCCAAAGTTGATTAAATCCAAAATATTTTAATAATTCTTTATTTTATTGATTTACATTAATATCGATACTATTTTAAAAAACAATACCCCCATAAGATAACAATGGACTGAAATATGGAAGAAATATTAAATATTCTACTCCTGTAATTTTTATAATGAAATACTCGATTACTTTAAAAATTACTCAGAGTAAAATATTGCTGAGTAGATTTGAAAATAGAAAGTACTCACGAGGCCAGCTGATTACTTTTTGTACTCGTCAATCATGAGGTCGAGTAGTGATTCCATACCTTTCAATGATACAGAAGAAATCCTCTATAAAATGTGGAGTTAAAATGAGGAAGAAGAGAACTTTAACCCCCAGCCCCAGAGGTATAAAGCCACAATAACTGATTAAGTATAGTAGTTATTCCCTGTAACTAAATTTGCATAAAAATATTTTTTACCTTGAAATTAGTATGAATATGGTCAGCATTCCAATCTAATGGGTCTACTTTCATTCGCAAATTATCCCTAGGGAAATATCCTGGAGGATATCTGAGGTTGTGAAACTGATCCCATAAGAGTCTTTTCCTGCAAAATTTCGGAATAACTAATATAAAAATATATATACGTTCACCAACCAAATATTCATATAGGGTCCATTTACAAGAATAAAATAACATTATCAAAATCCTCAATTATTAACTTACAGCTAGGAACAAAAGTCTACTACACTCAACAAATTTATTAAATCTATGTGTTGTTTTTTTTTTCCTTAAATAAAATTATTCTATTTCAAGATAGTTTAGGGTAGAGAAAATACTTTAGACATTGTTTATTTTATAGCTGAGTAACAAATAAACACATTTCACCATAGGGCAAAAGTCAACATATACTAGTAAACATAGAATTAAATAAGGATTACTGTGTTGCTAAAATAAATTTAATCTCATTCAAATTACTAGTAAGAGTGGAAGTTAAAACCTAAAAACAAAGATACTTGTAAATAAAGTCATTTCTTAATTTAAATTCTTTTCCCTTTTTTATGAAAGTATTAAATGAGGGTTAAGCAGAAACGAATCACTGCAGTAATGTAAGAAATCATTTGATTTTAAGACAAAGGAATTTCTGAGACTAGTAATTAGAAAATAATTTAAAAGAACTCCTCCATGTGTTCAGACAGTGATAAAACATAATTTAACTAAAAGATCAATAAACTAAGAAGCGGTAGATTAAGAAACATATCGGATTGTTATAAAGGGAATTCATTCAAACAATATTTTTTTTTTTTTTATTTCTTTATTGAGTATTATAACAATCTGTCTCTTGGACATTAGTTATAGTGAGGTAGGATGACATTCACACTATATGTACAAAAAATAAAATAAATAGAACAAAATAATAATCAAAAGTATATACAATAGATAATAAAATAAAATAACCTAAAAAAAAACACATGCATACCTATATACAATCAGGCGAGGGAACTCCAGGAGATCCCTGCGCTACTCTTCCAACCGCGTCACTGGTACTAAAGCCAGCAGAGATTGGTCGAGAGCACTTTAGCCACATACACTCATGTCTTGAGTGAAGAATCTGGACATTGCCAGAACTCCAATTTATACAATCTACAAAACGTCGCGAGGCCACTGCCGTTTCAACCTTCTTGGAGGATTATAGGGATGGGAGGTGCTTGATAGGGACTGTGCAAGAGGATTTGGGTGGTGCGTAAGGTTCTGGTGAAATTTGGAGAATTTTTCTGGGATAAGGTCTAGGACAAATGGGATGTTGAGGTCATGATGTAGGGTTTTGTTGGTTACATAGAAAGGAGCATCGACTATTGTTCGAAGGACTTTTGATTGGAAGGATTGGATGCGCTTGATGTTTTCAATGGAAAGGTTTTTCTGCTTAGTAGTCGGTATAGTTGGCCGTATCGTCGGTTGAGTTCTTGTCTTTTGAGTCTAGTATGCGGGTTCCACGTTAGTCTTCGGTCTAAATGAAAGCCAAGATACCGGACTGTGTCTGGGTAAGGAAGCTGGATGGAATTAAAGAGTACTGGTGGACAGGAATTGCGTCGGAGTGTAAAGGTAATATGTTGGCATTTAGATTCATTAACTTTAATGCAGTTATTACACCAGTGCTCAATCATGGTGAGGTGGCTTTGGAGATTTAAGGATGCTATTTCGGGATCAGAGTTGGATGATAAGATTGCGGTGTCGTCAGCGAATGTTGCAAGAAAAGTATCGGGATGAACAGGGATGTCAGCAGTAAAGAGGATGTAAAGCACGGGACCCAAGACGCTGCCTTGGGGAACACCGGCTTTAACGGAGTAGATATTGGAAAATTCTGTTCCTGCGAAATCGAAAGGAGCGGTCAAAGAGGTAGGATCGGAGGAGTAGGTACAAGGACTGAGGTAAATGGATTTTAAGCTTGAAGAGCAGTCCGGAGTGCCATACCAGGTCAAATGCCTGTGCAATGTCCAGAAATGCACCCGAACAGTATTCCTTGTTTTCTAGGGCTGAGGAAATATGATCAACAACTCGGAGTCCTTGTTGAACAGTAGAATGTTGGGAGCGAAAACCAAACTGATGGGAATGGATATTTTGGGATTCTACAATGGGTAGGATTCGTTTCAAAAGGATCTTTTCAAAAATTTTTGAAAGGATTGGGAGTAGGCTAATTGGTCTATAGGATGTTGAGCTATTGGGAGGTTTGCCTGGTTTTGGAAAAGGATAATAGTGGAGTGTTTCCATAACAGAGGAAAGTGGGTGGTGCGTAGGATACAATTGTAGATATATGTAAGGAATATGACTGCTTTGGATGGAAGTTGTCGAAGGATTTGAGGTGTAAGGAGATCATGTCCAGGAGCTTTACGGGGGATTAGTTTTTTTAATTGAAATTTCACTTCGGAAGGATGAATAGCTTTTGGGGGCAAGGAAAGTGGGATTGGTGATGTAAGGAGTTCTTCTACTGTTACGGTGTGGGCAGGATGGGATTCCGGATGTGAAATAAATGTATTGGATAGGTGAATGGCGAACTCCTCAGCTTTATCTTCGTCAGATGCTGCCCAGGAGCCATCATCTCGTCGGAGGGGATGGGAAATGCGGTGAGGATTTAGGATTTTTGTTGTGGTTTTCCAAAGGGAATTGTCGCGAGAAGAGAGGGAGGATAGGTAGGAGTTGAAGGATTGTGATCTGAAGGTGGCTAATTCCAGTTTTAATTTTTTACGAAGGCAGGGGATCAGCTGATGCAAAGGTCATATTCTGAAATCTTCTCTCAGTTTTTGCCTATTTTTCAGCAGAATCTCTTTGATTATTTACTGAATACAGTTGAAGTGTACACCACAGCAGTTGTTATTTACTGTTTGCTACATTTTTTTTTTATTTCTTTTTTTTAATTTTAATTTTTTTTTCTCTTATGATATGCGGCATTGTCAGCAAGTGATGTCCAGTAAGGTGCCCACTAAGAGGACTCGGTCAGACGGTGTTAGTACCCCTCGTGATTCACCAGCGAAACAAAGAACTCGTCGCTGCCTGGAGAAATAGCTCCAATAACCACAGTGAAAACTTCAGATCCTGAACCTCACCTCAACCAGGTACCTCTCTTCGCAAGAAATGGTTGAAGAATCTCCTTTCTTCACTCCAAACCCGTTCCAAGTGCTTCATAATGACAGAGAAGTAATGGAGTCACCAGCAATACCCAGGGAACCAAGGCCTCCTCCGATATTTGTAAAAAATATACAAATTTCCAACTACTGTGTACACAACTAAACGAAATCTGCTCCAGCAGTTATTCTTGCCTCAACAGGACCAACGATACAAAAATAACCAGATACTGCAGAAACCTACCAAAAAATTGTGAAGTACCTGTCAGAAACGAATGCAAATTTCCACACGTACCCGCTGAAACAGGAGAGAACGCTACGAGTGGTGGTAAGAAACTTACACTCCTCAACCCCAACTGAAGTGATAAAAGAAGAACTAGCAACGCTTGGTTTCAAAGTGCGTCAGGTAACCAACGTTCTAAAGGAGAATAAGGAGCAGCCAGGAGTAAGTAATAAAGTTCCACTACCTTTATTTTTCGTGGATCTAGAGCCATCACCTGGTATGGAGAAAGTATATGATATCAAGAGACTGTACTACACTATCGTGAAGATAGAGAAGCCATACCCCAAGAAGGAAATTGTGCAGTGCCACAATTGCCAGGCGTATGGCCACACGAAAACTTATTGTCACCATCTGCCGCGTGAAATGCGGTGAACAGCACAAATCTGTGGCGTGCACTAAACCGATACAAGATCCTGCAGTGTGTGCACTATGCCAGGAGGGACACCCGGGCAACTACAAAGGCTGCCAAACCTATAAGAGCCTCAAATCCAGATACCAGAAGAACCGGATTCAAGATGAGACAACCAGACCAAGAAGAGAACCTTCTAGAATTGTTAATAATAATTTATCATACTCCGAACTACTTGGAGGTAAGAACCCAAATAATACATGTGAAGCCCTGCCGCAGCAACTACCTCAGCCCCAATCTCAATATTCTGTTCATCCTAACACACATCATCAACAACCTCAAATTCCATATATTCCTCCTCCTTCAAATGCAACAGATCTCACCAGTTTGTTAGAATCTTTCCTCACCGATTTCAAATCCCTAGTTACTCCACTCATATCACTCCTTACAAATCTCGTATCTCACCTCATCCCTCCTTTAAAAAATCCTTAATGACTCACATCCCAAAACCCATGTCCATTCTCCTTTGGAATGTGAATGGTGTTAGAAATCACGTTGACGAACTAACAGCTTTACTACAAGACAAGAACATTGAAGTAGCCCTAATTACAGAAACTCGAATGACCATAAAACAGCATTTAAAAATCCCACAGTATATAACATACTGTACTGACCATCCTGGCGGTAGAGCACATGCCGGTACTGCTGTCATCGTACACCAATCCCTCTCCCATCACTTACTCCCATTACCTACTCAAGATTTCCTACAGTCAACCGCTATTGTAATCAAAACCTTCTCCTTTCCAGTCACCCTTGCATCAGCATATTGCCCTCCTAACAGATCCATATCCAAAGTCCAGTTCAGTTCTCTCCTCAACTCCTTAGGTCATCATTTCATCCTGGGTGCAGACTTAAATGCCAAGCATCAAGTTTGGGGTTCAAGAACCACGAATTCTCATGGCAGAACATTTCTGTCTGCACTCAATACCCAACGTTTCAGCCTCCTTCCACCCAACTCACCAACCTACTGGCCCACAGATCCTAACCGCAATCTCGATATCCTTGATTTTTTCATCCACAGTGGCTTAGGTCCCCTCAATCATTCCCTTACCCGTCTTGCCGAACTATCCTCAGATCATAGTCCATTATTACTCCAATTATCTCTAGCTCCTATTCCAAAGCTTCTCCACCGTCCTTCATCAGAGGTCCAGTTAACTGGAAACTCTTTCACCAAATCCTGTCCAATAAAATTGACCTCAGAATAACCCTGAAAACCCCAGATGACCTTGACAATGCCGTACACCTGTTTACCACCACCATCCAACAAGCAGTCTTGACTGCTTCCTCTCCAAACC